TCATATTGAGAAATTACATCATTTGTAAGCATTATGCAAATCGAAACTGATGTCTGGATTTGCATATATTACCAATACAACTATAAGTCATACATGAAGGTCTGTGAGTTGCTACTTTGCATTCACTGAATAAATTCCTTTTTCACTCTGCATCTGATTTTGGATCTGCTGAAAAGAGTGATTATCCTTCTGAGGAAGATACACATCTTATCTTAAGGAGGCTTGGGACCCAGGCTTTCCTGAAGAATTAACAGATTCAATTCCTCATTCTGTGGGTCTCATATGGAAAGGGTTTTGAAGAGCCAGGCTTTAGAGCTTGAAATTTGAGGGCCCACAAGACATATTGCTTATTCTGCCATTAATTTCTGTGCTTTGTGTTTGATAGAGATGCTAGTGAACATGATCATCTTTGTTCAGAAATGTGGCTGCAAAGATCAAAACAAACCACACTGATTGCTGTGTAGTTCATGAGAGATGACCTTTGATTTCTGGTGTAGCTGCTCATTTGTAACTGTTTTTACTTGTGTTACAGTCCAGTTAGTTCACTGGAACCCTACCTGTAGTCACTGAAATAAGTCACCTCAAATCCTCTCCAACAGTGACACCAGAGGTCTCACTTTGCCCTTAGACCTGAGTTTTCCCTGCTCTCCTTCCTAGTTTCCTAAGGCTGGTCTCTGTTTCCAAGTGCCTGTACTAGTAATTTGTCCAGTGATAGGAGTGCTGCCCCATCTTATGGAGGCCTGGACCCTGTGACCTATTGCTAGACTTCCCTGAGGTGGATCTTCTTCTTACCCAGTCTTCCATCACTGGCCCAAGATGTCCATCGCTACTGTGCCCCTGTTCTTCCTTTAGGGTACCTGTTATGGGTTGAATTGTGCCTCCCAAATGATAAGTTGAAGACCTAACATTTAGTTTCCCAGAATATGACCTTATTTGGGAACCAATTACACCATTGTAGATGTAATCGGTTAAAAAGAGGTCTTAGGGGGTAGGGTGGGCACCTAATGCAATATACATGGTGTCCTTATGAACAGACAGTTATGTGAAGACTCAGAGGTGAATCAAATGTCATGGGATGACAAAGGCAGAGACTGGAGTTCCACAGCTGCAAGTGAAGGGACACCACACATTGCCAATGAACCAGGAGAAGCTGAGAAGAGACAAGGAAGGATTCCCCATAGGTAACAGAGGGCATGTGTCCCTGCTAACGCCTTGGTTTCACTCTTACAGACTCCAGAACAGTAAGGCAATTGATTTCTGTTTTAAGCCACCCAGTTTGTGGCACTTTGTTATGGCAATCCTAGGAAACCAATACAGAAAGTTACGAAATACCTTGTTCTAATCCTTCCTTCTCCTTTTGTGTTTGCCTGAAAAGTAACCTATATTTCCCATTGGACCTTTTACATGCCATGGATGAAACTTCTTCTGTCAACACCACTGGTCACATAGTTTCTCCTCACTTGTGTTGTAGTCAGGTAATCTGATCATCTGACTCTGATTCCCAGTTTATCCCAAAGCAAACACTTAGTGTTCATCCACTGCTGACATCGTTAGAGGCTCTAAAGCCAGAATTCGGCCTGTGCTCTTCTCAGAAGATGATGGTGCATGTTACGAGCTGGAAGTATCCTCCCCAAATTCATATGTTGAAGTCCTAAGCCCCAATGTGATGGGATTTGGAGATGGGATTTGGGGGAAGTAATTAGGGTTTGGCGGGGACGGTCATGTGAGCACACGGGGAGATGGTGGCCGTCTACAAGGCAAGAGAAGTCTCGGAATGAAACTGACCTTGCCAGCACCTTGATTTTGGACTTCCCAGCCTCTACATATGAGAGATACATTTCTCTTGTTTAAGAGACGTTTTGTTACAGCAGCCTGAGCTGATTGATACAGTGCACATGCCTACACTCTGCTTTTCAAGACTATGCTTCAAATACAGCCAACACAACAGAGGCTGCTGGTGGGCTACGTGCATGACTGTATTAGCTTCTTAGGGCTGCCATACCATAACAAATTACCACAATCTTGGTGACTTCAAACTACATAAATTTATTCTCTCACACTCTTCTCCCTTTTACCAGGACACCTGTTCAATTTAGGCCCCACCCAGATGATACAGGATGACCTCATCTCATGATGCTTAGCACAACTACATCTGCAAAGACTGTTTTTCTTAATAAGGCCATAAACTCAGGCTTTGGAGTTAGGATGTGGACATAGCTTTTGGGGATCACCATCAAACCGTCTAGAGATGACTGTGTAGCCTAGAAAGAAAACCCGCAATGATAAATTCTAATAGAAATAAAACTAGCAAAAGAAAATTCAAAAATGATTTATGTTGGTCTCAGGCCATCACCTCATACTTGGCCTTTATGAAGATTTAAACCTCTGGAGTTTCCAGATGGTTAGAAAGAAAATAACTGCTAAGCTGCTGAACTGGAAACTCAGCATTTGATTTTCCACTTAGTGACAGGCTAGATTGCAAAAGATTACAAAGCATTTCATGTAGTCTGTTCCTGTTTACTGCAATTCAGCTTTGGCAATTTACATTTACAGTGTTCGGACAATTCAACCTTTCCTATCAACTGAGGGCATTGACAGCAGGAAGGCAGCATACAATTAAAGTTCTATCAGCTGGTCAGCTTCCGTATGTGCTCCAGCTCTCAGCCTCAGTCTGTTTCCACAGTTTCTTTAGTATCTGAGGCCTTTTCCTGTGGCTCATCAGTCTGTCCTCAAAGCAGGGAAGAATTGTTGGTCTCTTGGTGCAAACGGCAGAAGAGGGAGAAATAACGAAGCCAGGCAAAGCAAAATAATCATAACAGAAGAATTTCAGGACCACTGTTAATAGTGCTACATGAATATTTGTTGAGTTTAATCATTCCATTTGATAGTCACTATACACCAGTGAAGTGCGGAGTTATTATGTGTCTTGTCTTACAGACAATTAAACTGAGGTTAATGTGAGCTGAACTCTTTTTCCATGACCCTACAGTTTATGAGTGGTACATCAAAATAAGCCAGCTGTTTTTACAAACTATAAAGGCCTCTCTAAAGGATGCAGATTTCCAAAATAATTTAAGCAATGGAAACATCATTTAAATAAGCTTATAGCTGCCAAGAGGAACTGACTTCAGATTGACACTGATTTGAAGTTTGCTGAAAATAAGTTTTGTTTCTTACATGAACAATATAGTCAGTCTTTGAACACCCTTTAAAATGGAAAAACCAATTATAAAGTAACAGTGACAGGCTTCTGCTTAAAGCCACTTGGTTAGGAAGGATTTTGCCTGGGGTGGGAAATCTTCTAATTTTGTGAATCGAGGGTCAAAGACAGCAGAGTTAGTCTTTAAGATTGGCTTCAACTTGGGTCAAACAGCTTGAGATTTTGTGATCTTGAAAAGCCAAAAGTGATCATCAAAAGAAAAGAGAGGTCTGGAGAATTTAGCTCAGTTCATGCATGTTGACTCATGTTTGCTTCCCAATGCCAGTAAGCACATTGAGCTACTGAGGCATTTCTAGGTGCAAACAGCAGAGGACCCAAGAACTTGATCTCCAAAGCATATGCTTGCAAAGGTCACTTGAATCAAGACAGCAAGGGCGTGAAAGAGATATTCCTCTCAAAACACCATTCATAGGTCCCATCCTCTTCAAAAGTCTATCAGAGACTCTCCAAAATTCCTCCCCCAGAAGAGTATTCCTCCAGCTTATGACTCACTGAAGTCATAATTGGGAGGAATGATGAAGAGTAAAGCTTGTGCACAATGTTAGCATTCTATATGAGTAAATAAAATTTACAGCCAGTCGTTTCTATACTGCCTAGTAGAAAAAATAGTCTTAATAGTCCTAGAGAAGGATGCATACTATAGGCAATCCCGTTTGTAGATGGTTATCTATGCTGTTGACTTATGTTTCCCTCAAATTTTTACAGGAATATAAGTAGATCTGCTGCACTGGCGTGCACGGTACAATTTCAAGGAGCACCATTCACATAGACCACAGTATGAACAATGCCTCCGGAGAAATCCAGACAGCCTGACAACAACCCCTTGTTTCCTATCACACACATGACATAGAAGTTTAAAAACCCCCTTTGCCACTTTGCAGTAATACAGCCTTTTTGAAGTGTGATGATTGTCTGTTAGTATAAAAACTGCTTGCCAGCTCACCTTCTCATAATAGGATTTAGAAGAGTACGGATGCATACAGGCAGGTATTTGGATGTTCTTGTTTCCTGAAAGATTTGTCTATCCACTACTGATTCATCCCTACATTTGGGCTTTCATTTCTCAGCTATTCATTACAGACATGTCATGACTGTCAATCTTACATCTGATAACATGGAGACTGTGCCCTATTCATTGCCCCTCACTCTTTCTTTTACTCCTTTCTCTAAGGTTCATTGCCCACAGGAGAAATACCTACATTTCTTTATAAGAATAGGAGATATTTATGCAAACTGCATACATTTCAGTTACTGTATATCTCCAAAAATTGAAGACATATTTGTTTTAAAATTTGCCACACCCTGAGTGTGACACACATAATTCTCACCTTCTCTGCATGATCACTAAGCTACCCAAAGTATTCCTGTTTTATATTAGCTATTACTGCAATAATGTTATGCAAGCATTGTGGAGCATAAATCTCAAAATCTCGGGGACCTGTAACAATATTTGTTCTCCTCATGGAGGAGTCTGTGGGACAGCAGGGACAGTTCTGTTTCAGCTTATGGGTCAAAGTAAGGTTTTCTCCATGTTTCTTCTCATTCTGGATGAGCCGCTTCCCCAGACACGTTCTTTCCACAGGGGATGGCAGAAGTGCGAGAGGGTACGTGAGACTGAGGGAGCACATCACGCTTCGGATGGGATATGAGTTCTACCCAGGCTCACTGGCCAAAGCATGTGGACGACTGTGGGGTGAAGTCCTCTTTGCCCGCAAAGGGAGCTACAGCAACGTCATACAGCAAAGGGGATGTGATGATTCTGTTACAGGAGGAAGTGAAGATCAGGCACTGTGAACAGCAATCCAGTCCGCACCGTGTCCAGAAGTCTCAAACCTGTTCTCTTTCATTTTCAGGAGTTGAAATTGATTGGACTGGATATTCCACACTTTGCTGCAGACCTTCCACTGAACCGGTGTAAAAATCGTTACACAAACATCCTACCATGTAAGATGGTGCTGACCCTCCTTATGTCCTTCAAGGGCTAAAGGACTGTCACTGCAGATCGGCCAGTCTCTGGCCAGACCCAGCTGTGGTCTGAATCCTCAAGGCCATCTCTGTGCTTGCACTGAAGGCATTTGTGCTCCCATATCACTAGATCCTGTCACAATGAGGGAAGATTTAATTAGTATGCTTGTAAATGAATTGTATTTGAACAGAAAAGCCTGACCTTTAGCTCTGAGATCAGAACGTCTTAGCCAAATTAGGGATAAGGTAATTTGTGCTTTTGTAAACTGCTTGTGTCCATTCTTTGACAATGGAAAGAGGCACCTGGAAAAGTGTGCAGTGTATTGAAACGCCTCCTCTTTCTGACTTCTGGCAGGCTCATTTCATTTTTTAATGAAAGCAACATTCCCGAAAAAAGTGATATGAATAGCAGAAAACAATTAAAACATTTTCCAATATGTATTTAAGTTTCTCCTCTACTATATAGAGGGTGGGAGACCTGGGAGAGAATGGAAAAGTGGGAAGGAGGAAGCTTCAAAATCTCTAGAAAGAGAAGTGTCTCCTCAATGAGGTTTCTTGATAAAATTATGTGGTATTATCATTATAACACCTTACATCTGTACAATTTCAGAATTGACTTTAATTTGAAGTCTCCTTACAAAAATCCCATGCAACTCCATCTTCTCTTCTCAACAGACCTATACGGTCATTTAGAGCAATACAACTGGGTCCTCTGATTCCTAAAGGAAGTGAATTCTCTGGATGTACTAGGTGAAATGGAAATCATGGACTTGGGCTTCATTCTATAGCCTTCCATACCATCAAGGCGGCTGGGAGAAAATAATGACTGAGAAATATTTGTATCTTTATTTAAACAAGAAACTACGATTGAGGTATGGCTAAAATGTCAAGCTAGTGTAAACCTTATCCAGCCACTCAGTCGCTGGCCGATCTGACTTGTTGTTGGTAGAGAGGGTCAAGACAATGCTCCCTCCCAGTCTGATTTTTAAGATTTCTTTTCTGTTTGTTCTTCACAGACGACTTCAGCCGAGTGAGATTAGTCTCCATGAATGAAGATGAAGGTGCGGACTACATCAATGCCAACTACATTCCTGTAAGTAAAAAAATAATTAAGAAGTCGGGCATCCACCTTCTAGCCCAGCACAAGGAAGACTCTTAAGACCAGAGGCATGGGTCAAACAGTGAAAACACAAAACAAAACAAAACTGTTTTCCAAGCAGCAACCCAACTGTAATGAACAGTTCACATTATTCCACTTCTGAATAAAGAATAGGGGTGCAGAGCCCACAGATGAGTAATGGGAGCCACAGATTTCTTTGTAAATGTCTAGTCAAAGTGAAAGTCAAAAGTCAGGAGTTATCTGAAAGATCATCTTCTTGTGTTCGGATCCAGTTTCGGCAACCACATTCAAAGGGCTCCGCCTGAGCCCCTGTACTTTTAACAGATCCATAAAGATACTAGTTGGAATCATATACAAGTGAGGGTGTGATTTTCTTAGGCTTCAGGGAACAATGTCTAAAATCATACAGACCTCCACAGTCGGTCCCTCTGCTGGGCTTTTGGATGAAAACGGGAGAAAACATGACCTAGGCGTGCGATCCTTGGCCAGGAGTCTCCCCAGGGAATTTTCAGGGTTTTTTTTTCACTTGTGTGGAACAGCATTTGGTGTCGACAGTGGCTCCTTCAATGAGAACTTTGTCACTTATTTTTCAGGGATACAACTCACCCCAGGAGTATATTGCCACACAGGGGCCACTGCCTGAAACCAGAAATGATTTTTGGAAGATGGTCCTACAACAGAAGTCCCAGATGATTGTCATGCTCACTCAGTGTAATGAGAAACGGAGGGTAAGTGCCTAATGGGACTGTCCCCACTCAGCAACAAAATCCGTACCAGCCACTGCCATGGGCTGGCTGCTCACGGTGCACCGGCAGCCGTTCTGCTCACTTCACTGTCCGCCCTCACAGTAATCCATGCAGTTCCTCAAAGGCCAAGTACTTTTCAGGCACACAGACTATTTCTTTCCGAGCCTGTGTTTTACAAGGTTGTGTTATTGTCGCTTCAGGTGAAGTGTGACCATTACTGGCCGTTCACAGAAGAACCCATAGCTTACGGAGACATCACTGTGGAGATGATCTCGGAGAGCCCTCACAGTAATCCATGCAGTTCCTCAAAGGCCAAGTACTTTTCGGCACACAGACTATTTCTTTCCGAGCCTGTGTTTTACAAGGTTGTGTTATTGTCGCTTCAGGTGAAGTGTGACCATTACTGGCCGTTCACAGAAGAACCCATAGCTTACGGAGACATCACTGTGGAGATGATCTCGGAGGAAGAGCAGGACGACTGGGCCTGTAGATGCTTCCGGATCAACTATGTAAGTCATGAGGCCCGAGCTCAGGTGCTGTCCCCGCTGAGGGGCCCTCCCAGGTGTCAGCAGCCCAGCCCAACATGGTGGAAGAGGATGAGGGCTCAGACTTGGCAACACGGCCTCCTGCAAGAGGAGAGCCCCGCTTTTAATGTACTTGTTTCCCATTTCATCAACAATGGTGTGGATGAAATGGCTGGCCTGGAAGATCTGAGGAGCTGCAATAAAACGTCTGCGTGGCTCCGTCTCCGATCAGCCCCAGGAGAGAGTGGACGCGGTGGATCACCGCTCAGGCACGAGCGAGGAGGGAAGGGCTCCCACTGCCCATCCTGACCACAGAGGAGTGTGATCCGGGTACATAAGGCCCACTTAACACTTTAAACTGAACACTTGAGCCCTGATACAGAGTCTGGGCTTGGTTTTTTCCCTTGTTGTGTTCTGGTTGGGTTTTTATGATTTCAAAGGCACTTCTAGACCTTATGAATCATGACTCCATATCTCTTTTGAAATGCTATTGGTTTTTGATTGTTACAATGTCAGAGAGCTCACTTTTTCCCCTGAGGCCTGTTCCCTCTCTGATGACAAGACTGTGAGATGACTGGGGCCGCTTGTGTGCCAGCTACGTGAGGCCATCAGCCGTCGTCACCCTGTTCCCTCTTCCCAGACAGCAGCCCCAGAGAAGAGGAAGGGATTTTTACCAGTATTCTCCACTCGGACACACTCACTGTTGAGGACAAAGTTTAATAGGAAAGTCCTCATTGAAACGTTCTCTGCTGAGAAACAACCCTTCCTGATAGTACAGGTCAGGGGGTTGGCAAAATGAGGCCTGAGGACATACTGACCCCGGCCTGCTTTGTAAAGCCCGTGAGCTATGAGTGAGCTTTATATTTTTAAGTGGTTGAAAAAAATTAACAGAATCATATTTCACATGAAAACCGATGTGGAAATTATATGAAATTAAAATTTCAGTGTCCATAAATAACATTTTATTGAAACACAGCCACACATTTGCTTATGGATGCTTCTGACTGCCTATGTGCTGTATTAAGCTTGAGTAGTTGCAACAGACACAAAGACCCAAAGAACCTAAAATATTTACAATCTGCCTTTTACAGAAGATGTTTCCTGTCCCTTAATATAAACAATGGACAATCATGTGAAAGGCTTGAAACGTAGGAATAAAATGTTAAATAACAAATGCTTCCTGGTAAGGTGTTCAGACAGCACTTACAAGCATTTGGCCCCAGGATTCCCCTCTTTGGCTGTAAACTTACAGAATCTAAATTTTGAGTTTCCTGGATGGTTAAATCGCCAAAGAACATTGTGCTGTGCTAATGAATACATTTTTCTATTTGTTTAATTTTTTGTGTTTGTTTATACTCCTCTTTATTCTTTCCATATTGATATGTGGAAACTTTCAGAGTACAACCAGATAAAATGATACCCATCAGGAAATCAGAGTAAGAGTAATTTCGGAATAACTAAAGTAAGATGTAAGAAGCATTTTCTCATGTAATAAGAAAAGAAGGGGGAATGACAATAACACACAATTTGGCACTCACTAATACTTGAAACTTGGCATGAACTGAGTAAGAACCAGCCGCTAAAAAGCAGCAAAAATTTACTTATTCCCATTGACAAGTGCCTTGCTGGTCAGCTGACAAGGATCACCCTGGTTCTAAACACCTTGCTCTGCCTTGCAGCTGTAAATAAACTAATGACAATGTGAATGTTTCCTCTTTTTGAACCACTTACATATTTTAGCTAAATACATTTCCAGATTAACTGTATTAGAATAGATATACATTATATATCTATTTTATAAATATATGAATGGACAAGTGTTTGTGCTAAGCCTGCAACCAGCATTTGGAAAGAGCATACATTTTTGTGCAATTTTCTGGGCAACCACAGTTACCTAGTGATTGAATATCCTTAAATGTTCATGGCGTTGAGTAATTGAGTCATTCTGCAAACAAAAAATAATGCATGGCTTACACGCTTGCCATACTTTCTGAAGACAGCAGCGCAGGTAGCCAGCATCTTTGACTTCATGCTCCTGGTCAAGGAAGAGCCCTTGAACACAGAGAGGGAGGCCCTGCATGTGGCTGGGGGTGTGGCCTTAGGTGTCAGGGGACAATGGGTTTAATTGAAGTGCTGACTTATTTATACTTATATAAATCTTATCATAGATTTAGTTATATACTTTATCTATACGTTTGTTTATATTTATACACCACCTAAGACTACCAACTCTTTGGAATTCATTTCTCTTTAATATCTAAACTATAACTTTAGCTCCAAACTCATGGCCAGGCCAAACTCTTCCAAATTAATGATGTATTCCATCTAAAAAACCCTTTTAGATATGAGAAAACTGGTGGTGAGTTTGTCTTGGGTCAGGTCTCTTAAGAGAGCCCAAGACAGGGAGAGTCACACAGGCGGTGCGATCTTGGGTAACGTCTGAAAGGGAACATTCTGAAGAGAAGCAGGGCAGGACAGGACAGGAGGAAGCCACACCCAGCTGTGGGGTCAACTGAAGTCTAGCCTCAGCTGCTTCCCGGAGTGTGGGGCATGAATGGCACTGTGGAGTTGCCCCACCCTGGTGTGGGGGGCCTCTGGCAGCCTGGTGTCGGCCCTTCATTAGCTGCAGACGGCCCTCTGCGGGACGACATGCTCTCCTGGGCGGCACGGCAGCTCCCTTAGTGCGGGACAGCTCTGAGGAGAAGGGTGCAGGTCTGTGCTGGAAGCAGCAGCTGGGGGAGGGTGTGCCAGCCTGGTGGGGGGGGGGGGGCCCAAGCCCCTTCTACAGGGGCTATTTAATTCCTTGGCCAAAGCTGATGCAGTTGCTAAATGGCAGAGCCAGACTGCTCCCCCTGATCTGCTTAAGCTCTTACCTCTACACAGGCATGGATTAGTCTCTCTATCCTACCTTTTGAGGCTTTACACAATTAGGTTTTTCTATTTTCAGGGTCTGCTTTGTGCCAGACACCATGCTTAGAGCTGGAAAGGGAAGTGTACAGGCCAGGAGTGGAATGTGGCTTTACCTCCCCTGTCATTCACCTGTGACCTGCAGTGCAGTCCTGGGCTATCCAGCAGGGGGCCAAGAGGTTAATGCTTGTTCTGGCTTCTCCTCAAGGCCGATGAGACGCAGGACGTGATGCATTTCAACTACACCGTGTGGCCTGATCATGGTGTGCCCACAGCAAATGCTGCCCAGAGTATCCTGCAGTTCGTACATGCGGTCCGACAGCAAGCCACCAGATGCAAAGGCCCCGTGGTCGTCCACTGCAGGTACCTCGTCAAACGCATGTTCTGTTATGCACCATGGGGTTTATTTTATGAAAGAACTAGCCCACATTCCCTAAGACCCTGATCAGAGTGAATTAGCAATTAAGTGGATTATGATTTTTTTAAATTCATGATTAGCTGATGTCTTACTAGATACCTGACTTTTAAGATGGCTGTCTTATATCCTACAGCCTATGAGACAGATACTATTCCCATTTTGGGGTGAAAAAATCTGAGGAGAGGTTAAGGGATTCATACCAGTTCATGTAACTGGAATGTGGAGGAGTTAGGATTCAAATTCCAGGCACACCAGGATTCAAAGGCACACACATGCCTTTAAGCATTGTGTGATATTATTCTCTCCTTTCTAGGATTCTGAGTAGTTTATAACATGGCCAAATTAAAAATAGCTAATCCAAGCCCATAATAATTGACATAAAGGCAAGATGAGGAAAAGGAGAAATTAAAATATTCCACTTATTAAGATAAATGTGCTTATGATTTCTTTTCAAGACTGTCTCCACATTTCCTGTCATTTGAAGGGGGCTATTCAATCTGCTGCATTATCAAAAATCAAGGGCCACTAATCCCTGATGGAAAGAGTTATCTTTGATTTGAAGTTTTCTTTCCTTCCAAGTGAACAAAGCTCCATTAGAACCCATCAACATGACATCACATCGTTGTAAAATTTTATGCAACCCCAAAGAAGCAGGGGGTATAAGTGCACTCTTATTGTTCATCAGATATAGAAGTGGGATGACATTTAGAGGAGGCACAAGTTAACCTAAGCAGTTGTTAATCTATAATCCTGGATCTGGCACCTCAGACAGAGAGAGAGAGAGAGAAAGGAACATGTGTCTCCCTATAAAGGAAAATGCTTCATAAACTACCCAGTTTCTGATTAGGAAGGCTATCTTTGCTGTCAGTCATTACACATTCCCAGGTTAAAAGCTTTGCTTCACCAGATATAATGATCTAGTCTCAAAATGGAACTTTTCAACAGCAGAAAATAAAGCTGCTTACCCATGTGGTCAACCTTGGGCTCCTTTCCCAGCAGGGCCAGGGACAGTCCCAGATGCCACTTCATAGGTGTTCGGCCAGAGGGAAAGCATTTTATCTGAGAAGTTAAGTTCTCGGAGGGAAGTGCTGCCTAGTAGAAAAAGCAAACTGGGGCTCTGAATTCTAGGCTTTTAGGGTTGGATTTCTGTCCCAGCATATAAATTCCTTTGGCTTTCTCTTTATTTCATATTTCATCACAGTTCAGAGCTCAGAACCATTTGGCAGTGCAGTCTATGAGTAGGTGGGAGAAAAGAAGAGCTGGCTTTAACACGGAGAACTGGGGGCTGTGGTGGGCAACTGGTCCGGGTAAATCACTCTACTTCCCTCAGCTCTTTGAGCACTGGGATTTGGGGACTGGAAGAGACGGGGTCCAAATATTAAATCTGATTGGGAGGCAACTATCTAAAAGATCTCTGGGAGATTGAAGCAGGGCTGGGACCCACTGCAAGGGCAGATGAGCTGTTCAGAGGGAGGATCTGGGATGGAACTCAACCTAGGGACCAGGGCACCCGACCCGCGCTGGCCCCGGAGCTAGAGCTGCAGCATGCGTGTCCCACCTAGACCCTCAAGCTGTGTATGGAGGCCCAATTCTGAGGCTGCTCGGGAGACTGGGTCTCTTCCTGGGCGTCAGCTCCCTGGGGGTAGAACTGGCTCTCCGAGGGGATTGGGGGGCTCCACGTGGCCTCACTCCTTTCCTGGAAGCAGGGCACTGAGTGCAGGGAGGCAGGTTGGGCCCTGGGCAATGCAGACCCAGACCTCTTTAAGGGAAGGAGCAGTGATAGGTGATATTAGAAGACACACCTGCTACAACTGCATGCTTAAAAAATTGGTAAAATACTGTCAGGAGTTTAGTCTTCCTTTCTCTCAGTGGCACTACCTGTATTTGTTTCTTTTTCTACGGCCAATTTTGTTTTCGGCAGTGTAGAATACTGGGAGAATAATGTGCTGTCTAAACACCCTTTCACAGTGCTGGCGTCGGGCGGACAGGGACGTTCATTGCCTTGGACAGGCTCCTGCAGCACGTTCGGGATCACGAGTTCGTGGACATCCTCGGGCTGGTGTCCGAGATGCGCTCTTACCGGATGTCTATGGTACAGACAGAGGTAGGGCCGTAACCCACGTGCATCTGAAAACTTGCCTTTGTTTGAAAAACTTCGTATTCAATCTCATGTTTCAAAACGATGGTCTTAAATTTTTATTTCCATCTGTTAGTCCCAGTTTCGAACTATGCTTGCTCAAAGGTTTCAAGGTAGGAAGGGAGTAGATATGAGCCTCTAGAAATCCATTCCGTGTATAGCGCTTATACTTTTATTGGTGTCCTATGCCCTTCAGCTGCCCAGAGCATACGGATGTGTCTATGAAAGAATAAAACCTCTTTAGACAGACTGAGAGTTCAGGGAAGGTAACAGCTAATCTGGGTAAATGCTACCAAGTGGACACGATAGAACTGATGTGATTTGATTCATGTTTGAAATGCAGGCTTTGATTCAGTAAGTTTGTCGTTCATTTGTCCTCTGTGTGACTCTGTCCCAGTTGCCTTTTGATGATGATCAAGGTTGGATTCATGCTTCCTGTCTGCCTTATGATTTTAAGGATTTTCCAGCCCCTGACCTACCAGCCATTGCCAGTTCCCTTGATCTAAATGACCGTATTCGTCATTGTAACAACAAGGGAGTAGCCGCAGACATCCCCAGCAACGCTGAATGCTCCCTCATCCCCTTTTGTGCCAAGTTCTCTCCTCCCCCGAATCCTCAGACCTGGCTCAGGGGCAGCCCCAGCAGGGCCAGCACACAGCATCCACCCCCCCAACCCCCCACCCCCACCAGAGCAGTAGTGGGTGTGTACCTGTGGGTCCCCAAACCTAAGCACAATAGCTTCAGAATCCAAGCCACCCAGTACTCACCACTTCGTGGCTTCAGGCACACTATAATCCGATTTCTCAAGGAGTGTGTGTGGGAGGAACGCTTGTGGAAAGGAATAATAGAACATACCTGGCCTGACCTCTTACTCGATTGCCAGGAGATTAAACGCTGCCTTGGTCTTCCGCCTGCTCTTCCCACTAGCCACCACTAGATGTCAGTATAACTCAGAAAGCCTGCGGTACTAGCCGCGTCTCACGCCGCTCCCAAGTTTCTTTTTTTCCCAACCCATTTCTCTTTTCTCTCCTGCCTCCCCATTTCCACCTGACCAGGGCTTGGCACAGCCGCTCCAGTGTGTTTCTTTCTGAGCTCTAGCAGCATCGTACCGCTCTGGAAAGAGTAACCCATTCGCATTCGGATGTCCCATTGCTGATTAGGAAGCAAGCCTGTATATTTGTGTCCTCACTTCCCTGAGCGCGCACAGCCCAGTCCTGCTGCATCTCATTTACTGCTGTGGGGACGTGATCGTTACCTTGTCATCCTAAATTTAAAACGCCCTGGTTTCCTAGAGAAGCCCATTACCTGGTGATTAAACAGAGCTTTATGAACCGGTCCCTATTTTTGGCTTTCCCTTTCATTAATTTACATCTAATATGTGATTAAAACTCCCCGTTAGGTATATTCACCCCCAGGCTTCAAAGGGCCACTTCTTATTTTAACTATTTTGGATTTGATGAATTGTCTGTCCCATTGACTTTATTTATACCATGTATAACTTTATGACTTCGATTATAGCATGTCTGCAGTTGACTTTACCAACTACAGAATCTTAATCTTTATGTAAAACTACCTTCACATGGTGGACCCTCCACCTAATTTTCAGTACCATTAACTTTCTTCAGGTGTGGTAATGACACAAAACTAGGGCAGCCACCCTGTGCCTTTCGGCAAAGCTGAGAAAATATTTTGTTTTCTCCCTAACTTTCTTGCCCCAAATTTTGGTTGTTTGGCTTCTCTGCTTATGGCAGCAGTTTAGGTCTGACATCTCCAAGGAACCAGTCTTTTAAAAGTCCAAAATCCCTTCCCTGAACTCTTGTGGGAAAATTCAAAGTCAGCCGAAGAGGCGGAGGTCACCACAGGTCACTGATTTTTCCCAACTGCTCCAGCTTCGCTCTTGAGTTCCCCCTGGGATTTTGCGGTGGCTTCTCGCCAGTTGGAGTGACTTATGTATGTCTGTTTTGTTAGTTATATCTGGAACATCTTGCCCATTTACTTTTATTTTCCCCCATGTTTATGCTCTTCATGGTTCAGCCTGTTATTTTGAGTGTTCAGGTTTTCCTAACATCCTTGTTGTGCCCAGTCACATCCCTGTCCTGCCGCCTCTGACCTTTCTGATGTTCGTAAGTAAAGAGCAAAGTAAATTATTTTCTTCAGCTTTATCATCCCAGAGTAACCCCTTCAACACAAATGATTTCAAGAGGCCAGAATGATTCTACAGCTGATCTCTGCCTCTGTATGTGTGTGTGTGTGTGTATATATATATGTATGTATATATATAAGTATATATATATGTGTGTGTGTGTATATATGTATATATATATGTGTGTGTATGTATATATATAATACAGTTGCCTATTGTGAACCAGGTCTCCTCCCATGGCTGATTTGTAACGTCTCCTACCTCCTTTAGGTTGCTCACCATCTTGATTCCGCCACCCCACTCCCCTCTGGAAATAGTGGAAGTAACAGACTAAATGGGCCATGTCCCCAGCTGCACATTGCAGGCGGCTGCCACCTGCTGCCGTGGTCAACATGCCCTCTCCCCCTTTCTCATTGACCCTGGCATGCGCCTTGCCCTGAAAGCAGTGGGGAGTCATTAGAAAGCCAGTCGGGGTGGTCAGGCCCGACCCCCCAGTGTAGCTACTGCAGACACAGCTCAGCTCCCGAATCGCCCACTCCTCACCTGTAAGATGTGAACTCCAGTGCTCGTGAATTGTTGCAAAGTGTACGTTATGAGAAATGATGTAATCTAGATAAGTGCTTTGAATCGGTGAAGTGCTGCATCTGGATGGCATTTTCCTCTCTTGGGTCCCTTCTATTTTTATCAAATGCTTTGTTTGATTTCCTCTAATAGGCTTTCCCTGGAGGCCAGTTAAGGCTTTGCTTTGAGCAGCCTGTCCTGATCAGCAAGCAGCTCACGCTGCTCAATTTCTTTCAGGGATGGCTCTGTAAATAGTTTATTATTTACTTTTCTTGTGGACTAGCTACTTTTTTTCTTTTTTTTTTATCCAAAGTTTGGCCACAGAGCAGTTATGGGTTAAAATGTCTGGCCTTATCTATGCCCAGTTCTTCACACAACACCATGTGTGATATCAAGATGTGTGATATGTGATATCGAGGAATATGGCTCAGTTATTGATGATGACACTGTCACAAAATAAGGGACTATATTTCCTCCAAATCTTACTGAAAAATACACATTAGGGTGAAGTATCACCCCAGCAAGATTTGAAGTATTGACTTCATCCTTTGTTTAAAGTTCTCATTTCAAAGGATCCTTAAAAATCCTGTGGACCTCTTGACAGGTTCTTATTTAAATTTTATTTCTAATATCATTACTTATAAAGTAACTCAGGGAAATAAAGAAAAAGAGAAGGGTCATGAAGTTACCTTGATTTCATGGCACAAAGCTATTCTCAGTATTTTAGTATATTTTCATCTCGGTCTTCATGCAAATATAACTTTTCCACTATTGTGCTTATATGCTATGCACACACGTTAATTTTACATTCAAATTTATCACTTAACATTTGGCTATGTGTGTCAACTCGAATGTCCCAAAGCTCTACAAATCTCATTTTAAAGACTGAATAATGTCATAATGTCATATCTATAATGACAGACATGCCATTGCTTACATAAGCCATTCTCCTTTTCAAAGGACATTAGATTCTTTTCCACTCTTTCACTACTATCTGTGTCCATCATGCCATTTATTGGCACTTTATTAATTATAATTCCACCAACAATAGACAAAAGTGACTGCTTCAGCAAACCCAGGTCACCATTGAATGTTACCTTTTTCATTTAACTTTGCTCACTTTGTAGATGAAAAACGATTGTTTTAATTTACATCTTTGTTCATTTGGCCATTTTTGCCTGTATTTTAGTATTTCTTCAGTTAAGTTCAAAAAGCACTTAATAAGCAAAAAATAAGTGATAGATATAGGATTAACACATCATCCCTGTCTCCCAGGAAAATTAGGTCTAGTTGTCGGCATGGTGTATTTATTTGTCAATTTAAGTGCGCATGTTACAGATGGGTGGCATTTTATAAATAAAAATTAAGGTATTACCATTTTGTCATAATTCTAGAAAATATTTGTCCCTTCCAGTTTCTAGTTTGCCATTTATTTTATTATTTTTACTGAACCACCATTTGAAATTTTTATTTCTAATTTATTCCATTGTTTTGAAGTTTAGAAAGTCCTTCCTTAAAGTAATCAGAGAGGAATTAACATATACATTTGATCCATAAACAATGTGGGACTCAGGGGTGCCAATACTCTGTTGCAGTGGAAAATCCACACATAAATTTTGACTCCCACCAAATTTAGCTACTAATAGTGGATAGCATAAATTGTCTACTAGGGTATATTTTGCACATTGTATGTATTATATACTCTATTCCTACACTAAAGCTAGAGAAAAGAAAATGTCTTTGCAAATTGTTGTAAATCTCCAAAAAATGTTCCAGTTTTTTTAAAAAAAGTCCATGTATAAGTGGACCTGCACAGTTCAAATCCATGTTGTTCAAAAGTCAATTGTATTTTCCTCTATTTTTATGGCTTTAAACTTCCTGGAGTTTTATTTTGATGTATTATGAGGTGATGCACTATTTTTTTAAAAATAGATCCACGTTTTATTTGTTGAATATTCATTGCTTTCAGCATTAAGTAGTGATGGTCTAAGCTCTCTTATTAATCAAAATAAGTTTGCAATTGATTCTCTTGGATTTTCTAGTTATAAAGTTATGTCTCCTAAATCATGAAAATTGTTCGCTTTGACATCAGATCATAGTATTTAATATTGCCATAGTATTAAAATATTGTATCTTTGCACATATTTACACAAGGATGTCTTGATCTGAAACATGTCTCTGTCTTTTGCAACAGGAGCAGTACATCTTCATCCATCAGTGTGTGCAACTGATGTGGGTGAAGAAGAAGCAGCGGCTGTGCATCAGTGATGTCATCTATGAGAATGTCAGCAAGTCCTAGCGTAGAGCTCAGAGCAGTAAGTAGAGAAGAGCCCATTGTGCGCATTCTGCCTTAGAATAATGGAAGGGGCGTGATGACATACAACAAAAGGTGGCAGCAGCCGCTAGTACCCACTCTGACCCCATGGAGATGGTCACTGGGAGGTGGTCATGGGGAAGGACAAACACCACAGCAGATCTCAGAGCTTCAGTGCATCTTGGTTGGTGGGTGTGACATACAGAAGCTTCAGTAACTCGTGATGGTTTGAAATCCTTTCCCTCCACCCCTGAACCTGAAGGTACTCCGAGGTTGGATCTGCACCTGTAATAGCAGCATAGTACCATCCAGCAATATTTATCTAGATATTTTGTGCCAATATTTTGTTGATTACAAGGGTTGCCCAAGGGGTTACATGAGCTGGAGTGGACATCCCAGAGAAGTAAAGCAATACTGACAAGAGTCTCATTGTAGCAGAGTTTAGAGATACCTTGATCTCATCCATCTGTGAGCACTGACTTGAGAACTTCATGAAAACATTAGTAACATATTCAATGCCTTGTGCTCATATTTTGACTAGGAGATCAGATTTTGGAGGTACGAGTAATCTTAGCTAAAATAACAAATAATGTTCCAATTCAACTCAGTAAACAGTGTGGAATGTAACTGTGTGTACTGAGGAATGGGATAAGGGGCATGGACAGGATGCGGAGGGGACAGAGGTGCATTGTGGGAGGAGTGTGGAAGGATAGATAGCACATGGACCAATGGGTAGGTGGGACAGGATTAACCTTCTGCCTTCACATCCATCACGAGACACAAAGCACCAGGAGGCAGGAAGGATAAAGGATAAGGAAAGACAGACATATGTGCAGAGAGAAGGAAAGACATTTATAAGGACTCAACAGAGAAATATGCACAATATACCCATGTCCATATGGGCTGTGGGGTTGAGTGTAATGAATCTAGGGTTAGAGTCAGGAGGACATGGCTGCGCAGCCAGCCACAGTGCTGTGGACTTTACCCTTCCAGGCTGCTACTCACTCTCTCTCTCCCATTCACAGGACAGGACCACGATGCACATCCATCCTCACTTGCTTCCGAGTTTTTTAGGGGCTCTGGCAGCTGTTTCGCTTAAAAGAGCCCCTGTTTTGTAGTATGTGGCCAAGGAGATCATTTCTCACATAGAAGCAGCGGGAAGACTTAGCCTTAAAGAACCTGCAGTGTCTTTGGACTCTTTCACTTCTGGACTTTTAATAAAGGACCAAATTCAACTGAACACCACAAAGGTCCAGACGCTCTATGAAGGGCAGGAAGCACAGCACTTCCGAAGAGTTTCCTTCACCCTTTGCTGGCTGGGCTGAATTTTTTGTTGTCGTTGTTGTTTAAGTGCAATAATTTTTGTATATGTGTGATTTTATCATAAAACTGAGTTGTGTTCTGCCCACACCATCGATCAAGCCCTAGCCCAGGAAGGAACAGACATTATCAGAATCGAATCATACCTCACTGTTAACAAGAGGCACGGCCACACATGAGGAAAGCGTCATCCTGCTTCAAGGAATCGGACCAGTGGTATCTGTCTCCACCATTAAGCTACAGGATCAGGAGTGGGGAGGGTGGATGGGGGAGAAAAGTGGGTCCTACCCACAATTCAACTGCCTATTTTTCCCAAATATGAACAGCTGTACATCAGCTTCCAAGTAGAGTAGAAAAAAATATTTAAGTCTTAATTATTCTAGGTCTTGATGGCTTTCGTCTCTATTAAGGGTTAAGTGTTTCTTTCCGGGCCTTCTTGGACTAATGTCGCTACCCAGGTTCTTTTTCAACACACCAGATCTGGTTCAGGAGAGTTTGAAGTCTGACTCTTCAGACTCCATTGCTGTCTGAGCAATCTTGGTGCCTATGCATTCCTTTTTCTGTTAACCTGCATACAGGTGAAAGCTGTTTCTTGGAGAGCTATTTGCTGTGAAAATACACCTCCTTCCCCTCAAAGATCTGGAAATTTCTGAAGTTATGGTGATGAACTGAAGCTACTTTTTGGGGTAATATCATCAGGTGTCTCTATGGTTCCAATGGAGATTTCTTTCTTTTTTCTTTCTAGTTGTCAGTTTCATTTTAACCAGTGTAACTAGTAACAGGCTATTCTTTGGATTTTGTATACTTACAGTACATGACTGTGTGTTGTGACATGAATGCGGTCAAAATGGACACCGAAGGCATCATGCAGCCTGTCTCTTAGTGTCACTTCCTGAGAAATAAGATGTGATGGAATGGATATACAAAGGAAAAATTGGGGGTTGAAAGTAAACCCAAGCTGGCTGCTTCACTGTGGCAATGTGTCCTGAGCCCTCTTTGTGCATCTGATCGTTGCCCCTCGCCCTGGCATCCCTCTGATCCCGATCATCTTCACAAAGCCACGTAAATAAGATCAGCTTAATATTTTATCAGGGACCCAAGTGATAGGGAATGATGCCAGGTGAACAGCTCTGCACCCTGCTGTCTTCTGTCACTGAGAAGGCCTGGCCACAGCAGACCTTGGCATGGTTCTTGGCAAGACCTGGCCAGTGAGGCTCAGGTTCACCTTGCGGGGGGACAGCAGAGGATGTCCATGCCCACCAGGTTAACAGCCTGGGCTCCGAAGGGAATGTCCGTTCTACTCACTTCCCCTCCTCCCCTTCTCACCTCCCTGCTGCCACCTCCTTCTCTTCTCACCCCCACCCTTATTTGTCCTGTAAGACTTGCTAATAGTGTATCACCCATTCTCAGGAACACACATGGCCAAAGGAAGGTGGCAAATGTGTGACATCCTTAGATCTTCACACACAGACAGGTCCGGAGTGAAGTGTGCAACCACAGACGAGCTGATGAGGTGCGTGGGGAAGCTGGAGTCCACTTACAGGTTTTGTACACTTCCCCTGAAACTTAAAGCACTTCATCAATATTTCACATTTTCCTGAGCACCCCTTCCAGGTAAGGATCAAATAGTACCAGACTAATTTTCCCCAAAGAGAAGATGAGGCATCCCGAGTTTAGACTGAAGATTCAGTCGAGACTACAGAGCAGTCACCGTAAAGCGCTCCAACAGGGCACTGCAGCAGGGCCCCCCGGCCACCCCCCTGTTCTCTGACATGCTGCTCCTGCTTTCCGGTAGGAAAGCATCGGAAAACATAGGTTTTAATTCCAACAGATGGCTTTGGGGTTTCTCTCTCCCAGTTTCAGCTAATAAACTGTAGAATGGCCCATAGAGTGCCCCGTATTTTGCAGGTATAAAGAGTATCAGATGTGGCAATTCACCCATAGCTGTTCTGAATCTCATTCTTTCATGTACCCTAAGGCCACTCTAACCAGCTGAATTGCCACCCCAGCACACCAAGCACCCAGAGGGGAGGCTGCCAACACCTCTGCATTATTAACTAGGGTTAAAAAAAATCATTTGAATATTGCTTCCTTGCACTGAACATGGAGACATTAGCACGCACAATTCACAATGGCCTACGGGACACACAGAGCAGAAGACTTTAGAATCACAAAATATTTAACTTTGAGTCCTATTGAGATCAAATTCCTTGGCTGCAAAAGTCACTTTCTGAAATTGAGAAACAACCGTTAGGGTCTTATGTATAAATTTAGTATTTAACACCATTATATCCATCACTCTGCATGCTATGATTTTATTTAACTTGGAAAGGAAACAGAGTGATAGATAACATCTTTTCTGGACAGCCTTCTAATTTAGAGTTTACTGTTTTCCACCACAAAGTCAGTGTTGCCACCCCCTAATTTAAAATTGGTAGTAAGATTTTTTAACCACTTATAAAATCTATTTAATCTCCTATAAAATATTTAGTCAGATTTTATAATGTCCCTTCTTTTCTGAAAGCTGTCCCTGCCCCCAAAACACGATCCATCTCTCAGAGAAGCTACGGTGTCAGCGGGTAGCAGGAGCTGAAGGGTTGGATCTCAGTCTTTTGCAGGCCATATGATAGCTGCTTCCTGGAGAGTTGGCCCTTAGCCAAGGAGTTAAAATTACTGAATCCAATCTCTAAGAGCCAAAATCCTCCCTGCTTTCTAGCAAGGAGGCTTTCCTTTCCACCAGGAAACGTCCGATGTAATGTGCTTCAGATTAGCTGGCTGGTTTCCCAACTCCCGGATCTCTGGCCAGATCCTTGGCATAAGGTTGGAGCCCAGAGGCCATGCCCAGGACTAAATATAATGCGCACGTTGGTTAAAGGGTTATAAAGCAACAAAAACATAACACCTGCAAACTCCTCCCCCTGGTTTTAAACAGCCCCATTTGGATGCCCTGAAAGGACTCCTGAGCTGGACGCCTGGCCTTCCAGAAAAGCAGGATTTGTGTTTCCCATTTCAGTCGATGCTTCTCACCAAGTCTGATCTGGGTGGGTTACTCGATTAAAGATGCAGCCCAATGCTCAGCTCTGGGAACTTTATTAATATGAAGGACATGAACGAACTGAAGGTTGTCCAGGGCAGGGTCCCCAGAGGTGTTAGCGATGTGGAAAACAAATTACAGTTACAAGACCTGGGACAAGTGGGGCTGTGAAGCCTGGAGAAAAGGAAGAGGCATTCATTCATTCAGTCATTCATTCAACAAATGTCTGTTTACCTAATCATGTTGAAAGAATGAATGAATTAACCAATGGAAGATTCCTCCACTGCTTGCGATATGCTAGGCACTGTGTGGGCATGAATTGTGCCACACGCTGACTTTTAAAAATACGTTTTGGAATCAGAGTTGCATTGTTGGAAGGACCAAGAACAGTCTGCCTACCTCCCGTTGAACAGAACCAACTGTAAGTAGCTGGAAATGTAGCCCCAATTGCTCTATGAGGTCTGCAGCAAACACTAGTCAATGTTTGAGCATTTTTCACTTCTTTATCCCAGAACATTGTCAATGCATCTTCCACAATTCCTAGCAGTCAAGGTAATGGTGTCACGCTTTTTATCCGATGACTTAGAGAATAGGAACACCAGGTACTCATCATTTTTGTTACTCATCGGTCATCACAGATCCTGACGTGGTCCCTCTTCCTTGATGAGAATCACCAAGCTGTCCCACTCTCCTGTCAGAACAGGATCCCCCTCGGCCACGTGCCTGACAGCCAGTTCTTTTCTGTGGGACACTTTCAGTGTGCAGAATCACCACCTCCCAAGACAGCTCAGGCCCCTTCTTTCTCAGCAAGTATGTCCTTCTTTTGTTTACACATCTAAGGGCCTTACTAACATTAAGAATGCATGAGTCTATGCCTCTCATGATTCTAGGAGGGAAGCCCACATCTGCTTTCCCATCTTGGTAAAGGGCAGGTGCCGTGTGCCTCCCACTGCCCAGGGCTACTTTGAACAGAGACCTGGTTTCAAAGCTTTCAGTTTGAGAAATAGTACATTTCTAACCCTGTAAGAAAATCATTTATCTGCTCAACATCCCATACCAGGCACCATGGAAGGGGCTGGGGCCATGAGGATGGATGAGACAAGGCTTTTGCTTAAAGGAGTTTACATTCTGGTAGGGCAAGTCAGAAGTGAAACCAAGGGCAGCAGAGTGTCACAGATGCTATGATAGAAATACACAGCACACCCAGTGTGGGCCCAAGAGGACAGGTGGTTTTTTCTGGAAGGGTCAAGGACTCCACTGCCACATGAAGAATATGAGTGCGGAACGCTCATTCTGGCCCTGAGCAAGCATTCATCACACACCCAGTGCCGCAGTCACCACAGACTGGGTGGGGGGAACCTCCAACCTTGCCTTCTGAAGCCTTTTTTCCTGGCTGACTCCCAAGTGACCGTTTCTTTCCAGGCCTTCTCAGACAGCTTCAGCTCAAGTGTTATTCAGCAGAATGCAATGGATTTACTGTTGCTGCAGACATCATAGAGCAATCGGGGCTACCTTTCCAGCCATGTACAGTTGGTTCTGTCCAATGGGAGGTAGGCAGATGTGGTAGACTCCAATCTCTGGCCCCTGGCCCATGAAAATCTCCCAGGAGCAACCTTCCATCTGCCTCGTTCTCTCTCTGCCCATCAGTCTACCTCCCTACCTATCTTCTATTATATCTATATATCTATTTACCTGTCTATATCTATCTATTGATTGATCATCTCCAGATGCCGAAAAGGTAGGAGGCTGGGTCCCTGAATCACCACCTGGAGGAGGAATACCTGCCTGCATTGGCCCAGGATGTGATCAAGTAACACATTTCTACTGTGTTGCCCCTGCAAGTCTGGCATTGTTAGCTGTGGAGGTCAGCTTGCCTTGACTAATACGGCAGCAGGACAGCCTTTACAATGTTGTGCGGTCACAGCTGTAGTGGGAGTTTTCAGGGCTATGGTATGTGATGACCCAACAGAATTCCCAGAAGATGGGCTAAAGATGAAACAGAGCACAGCAAGGTTAACCAATGCAAACACAGGCTCAGGAAAAGGTCACAAGAGCAATGGTGGTTCTTTTAATAAACAAACTTTTTTTTTTGCAGAAATACATGCACTTTTCTCCTGAAGTGGTTTTCCTCCAAGTGAGTTCCCTCCTTTTCTTTTTTTGTTGTCCCTTTCTGTACCCTATAAAAGATCATTGCTTAGCTTTTTTATTAGCTTTAAAAAAATTTTTTTAAGCTTTAAATGAGCTATTAGTGACTCAGAACACAGCCCTGGGTTCCTATGAACAACAGACCTCACAGTGGTTTCATATCAGTAAAAATCTGAAGTCACAGGAGGCCATGGGGCTTGGCATATGGGGCGATGCCGAGTGAGCCAGGCCTTTGCCTTGTGTGTGTCATGGTGAGTTCCAGCAAGTTCAAAGGCAGCTGACCCAAATACTTTTGTTCAGTTCTAAGAACACCCAAAGTGTAAAGGGCTGTTTCAACTCAGAATAGTTAACTGCAATCACTATTACCTTTACAAATACAGAACAGAATGGTCTCAGAGGGGTTCCTTCATGTCCCAAACCAAACTAGATCACACCCTCCCTTCACCAGCACAGGGCCCAGCAGGGCAGCGAGGGGTTTAGAACAAGGGACTGTGCAGGGAGAGAGACAACCTGAGACCATGTGCCTGACGTGACTCAACCGTCTCATCTGTGACTGGACAGTGATGGGAGCTTTGTCTCGGGGCTTCAAGAAGACAAAAAAGATAACATGCATAAGGGGCTGAAAATAATACCTGGAAAAACTTAGTATACGGCAGGCTCCCCAGGACAAGGAATCCTCCTGAAGTCTCACATCTTGGAATTCTTGGGTAGAGAATAGAGGCTCAACGTGAGCAGGTGCCACTTGTGAACCCCACTCGATCCCTCTGGGAACCGTTTCTTTGTTCATAAACAGGAGTAAGAAGAGCTTCCTCCACGGGTTGCATTAAGGGTTAAAGCTAAAGCCCTTGGCGAGGTGCCTGGTGGTTTGTGGATATACAGTGACATAACTGACAAAGTACAGACTTTTGAGTCCCAACAGCCAGTGCTCTGACAGCAGTGTACCCCTGAGGAGACACCTACTATCTCTGAGCCTGAATGTCCCCACAAAATGCGAAGTAACATCTACCTGTGGAGTTGTGGTAAAACTCAGGTGTGGGAGGTAAAGCACTAGCCAGGGGCCCGGCGGGGTCAGCATGGAATACATGCGCTGTGAGCCTCCGAATCTCTCTCTCAGCACGTTCAGACTAGCAAACCAAACCCTCCCACTCATTCCTGCACCAAGACATCTCCAGAGGCAGCATGCCCAAGTGCCCCCGTGAGCCCCTGCAGGCACAATGACGACGAGCCTGCCATCCACGAGGCCTGCTCCCCTGAGCAGCTGTAACACCCTCCATTGCAGGTGCTGCTCCGTGAGAGGCCTCATCTGCACACACGTGTCTGATGGGATGGGAAGCTCAGTTTGACAAATGCTAAAAGAAATCAGAAGCAACTGGGCAACTCCGGATTTGCCAGATTTTCATTTTCATTTTGTAAATCCATTGCTGTCACCAAGGCATTAACTAACAACAGCCATTTCTTTTTTTTTCTCCTCCTATTGCTGCAAGACAACTGAATTACCTAAATGTCTCAGTTCTGCCCTGTAACAAGATTGGTTGCAGAGAGGAGGCAATAAACTAAGTTCTTGGTGCTGTTTTCCTGATGTAAAGCGTGTCATCAACTGACTGGCTCGCAAGACGCTGGGTTGCCTTAAGTTGTTAATACTCTAGACCTTCTCACATCACAAAGGGCTGTATTTTGTTTGCGAGACAACAGATCCTGACAATTGTTTTAGCCTGTGGCTCGGTAGCTCTGCCCCTTTCATTCATTCATTAGTACAAATCAAACTGGTCCTTTGACCACATGCCTCCAAGGAGTTACGACTGCTGGACGAACCACACCACAGATTAATGTGAAGAAAACGTGTATCTATTCCTGGTTCTGGCCTGCCTATCACAGGGCAGACTGGGCCCAGGATCAGTTAACTTTCGTCCTTATATTGGCATCTTATGTAATTTCTACTCCAGAGCATAAATGGGCAACTATGAGAGGATGTCCGAAGGCAAGCTTCTTATCGAACCTAAGTGGTGCTTTGAAAGGGGTGGGCAGCCATCTGAAATTTCCCAAAGACATGACAGTCGAGACCAAGGACTGAATTTCATGGTTGAATTGTCACCTTGCAGGGATCAGCTCCCAGTCTTTCACATTCTCCTGCAAAGGTCTGTTTGGAGGAGGGAATCTATTTGGCCTAGAGCAGGGATTTCCAAATAAGGCTCCAACCCCTTTCTGTGCTGCTTCAAGAGAGACTCTGATTTCACCTGTGTTTATGCAGTGTACTATATACATTTCATGTTTTTTAAAAAATGCTTTTTCTGCTTAAAATTATTTTATACACTGACCTATGCAATCTAACAGAAAAGATGATTTTCAGGATACATGGAAGTCCAAGAGTTGGGTCCAAATTCAATAGTTCCACTTACTGTGTGACTGTACCAGCCGCTTAACTTGTATCTGATTTCCAACGTCCTCATCTGCAAAGCGGGGACGTGTATGATGTTCTCAGCACCCGAGCTCAGTCCTTGTTTTCTTTTCCTTTAAGATGGGATGGGAGGGCAAAAGGCTGTAGCATATGATGCCAGCTCAGAGCAAGAAACTTTGAAACAGGATAAGCTGTGGGAGACCTAGAGATATTATCTGAAAGACACTGTGTGCTCATCTTGGGTGATGACAGGAATGATTGAAGTTGGAGAAATTATGTTCCACCCACAACCTGGCTTGAGAGACAAGACTGACTGCTCTAGGACTGCCCCAGGCAGCCCAGAAAAGCAGCAGGAATGGGCCAGGTACCTGAGACCACAGGAAGGAAGGAAAGAGCCCATGGGACCAGCCTGGACCACGACCGTCTGGGTCTGGCAGGAGCCCTGGGTCACTGCCCACCTCTTTCCAGCATCAAACTGAAGGAAATGCACCTGAGGCTCATCAGAAAGAGTCATGCTGTCATAGTATCCCAACTGATTCAGAATTTCAGATTCAAGACCTCAGTTTAGTGAGGTCCCCACACAACCCCAACGTAGCCTCTGTAAATTTAATTTTCGAAAACAAGTGAATCTCAAATTTTCCTATAAGTTTTCTTAAAGAAAAGTATGGAAGGACGAGTTTTAAGTGACTAGATTTTCTCTCACACTAGCTTCCCATGACTCAGTGCCTCTTAAGGGCAGAGGGAAAGCAATACCTCTTATAAGCAATACAAGAAAAATCCTTGGGATAGGGAGACTCCCCAGCTCTTTGCTTGGGGACAAATCGCCATTTGCAGGGCAGGAAGCTAGGACATGAGGAAAGCATTTGAGTCCTGCAGAAATGAGGAGGCAAAGACCAGAGTTTAGGGGACTGGATGTGCGTGGAATTTCTAAAGAGGACACCAGAGTGGAGGCGTTTATGCAGAGAACGGTCACAGAAATGTGTAACTAAATCCACCCAGTTCACATGGGGCAACATCTTCCAGTGCTTACGAAGACTGGCCACTACACGGTTCAGAACAGAACAGTTACCAGAGGTAGCTGTGTGGGTGACCCTAGAGACCCAGCCCAGAAAAAGCAAAGAGACATGGTTAACATTGTTTAGCACCCTGGCCATCCAACTAAGATACAAAAACTGCTCTTGAGAGGTACAGACAGTGCCAAAAATCAAGCCCTGACCAAACCTACTGAGAAGAGAAAGTTAGCAGATACAGTTGCGTCGTGAGGAGACCTCATAAAACACATTGAGTTTGCCATGATCAAAGTAATCAGCCAATATAGAATTGCTCGCTAGAACAAGAATAAACATTCTTCAGAGGAAGACACCATATATTCTAGAATATCTGTAACATATCTGCAATGCCAAGTATATAATTAAAAAATTACCACCCATGCAAAGGAAGAAGAAACTCGGGTCCCAAAAAAACAATCAACAGAAGCTGAGCTTGAGATGGCCCAGATGTCACTTATCAAATAGATGATAAAGTGACCTTTATGTGTTACAGAGATAAAAGTTGTTCGAAGAAGTAAGGAGAATATTATTTTAATGAGTGAACAAAGTCTCGGTAGAGAAATGGAAGTTTAATAAAAGGATGAAATGTAGACCCTTAAGCTGATCAAGGGCAATCATTGAAAAGAAAAAACCCTCTTTTCAAATCTACATCTTTATTTTTCTTTGTGGTCTGGGGCTTTGCCAGGCGTGTGCACAAGAGATTCTGCCCAAAGAGTGTGCTGCAGAGATAGGAAGCTGAGGGGGCATGAGGGGCCTGCCGCCCCCTGTTTACCTCTCGCTCCTCCCCACAGCAGCCTGATCCTGCTTCCTCCCTCTCCGAGCAGTGATTCCCAGTAGGTTGCAGTTATGTTTGCTTGTGTTTCCCCAGTCCCAGAAGCAGACTCATTGTGCCCTCTCAAATGCCAGTACCAGCTGGCTGGCATGCTCTCCTCCCAGGTCCAGGTCCCAGCCCCACGGATTTGCTAAGCTGTTTTCTCAGCTGGATTTTTTTTCTGAAGTCCTGGGGCAACTGTTCTACCTTCTCAAAGGTTGATTTGCCAGCTCTGAGGTCTTTCCTCCAAACTTCTCAGACACCAAACTCCTCAGGTGTCTGGACCTAAACTCTGTAGTGTCACCCCCTCAAGATTCTAAGTTCCGGGGGTCCAAGCTCTCCTCTTTGTTCCCACAGCCCTGAGGGGGGGAACTGCTTCCAGTAATTACTGTCTCTGTGGCATTTTCCTTTGGAATTTTATAGCATAAAGACATAAACTAGACCAATTCTTTTAATATTAGATATGCTACATCATGCTCAGGTTATTTTAATTCTTCCATCTTGTTTTCTTTTGTCTTATTTCTACATTTTCAGAAGTTTTCAAAAAGGGCTGTTATAAATGTGTGTGTGTGCTTACAGAATGGAAAAGATCTCCAAGAATTCTTTATCATTCTCAGGTTTGCTTAATTTTGTCTAAGGGGCAATTTATGGAGAGACTGAGAAATAGGGCTGAGAGGCTCCCACATCCCTCATGATTCTGGGATCATCAGACGCTAAGAAGTTGTTTCCACACCTATAAAATACAGCTCACAGATGTTACCGTAGGTATTTAAGAAAGCATTTCTGGGGAGTAACCACAAGTGCTATATAAATTTATTTTTACTACTGGGACCAACTGTGACTACCTGGTAGAAGGGAAAGATGATGAAATATGAGAGGTGAAAAGAGGAACAGCTGAAGAAAGTGCTCTAGATGCTTTCTACCAGCTCTGAAATATATTGGAAATCAGTTTTAAAAAAAAAAGAGTGGGCCTCTGTTTTTCTCATTCTCAACTCTGATCCCCAGTCTACATACCAAAGAGCCCTTTTGCAAATGAGACAGAAGCCATTTATTAACATACAGCAAATACTGTTTATTGCAGACTTTCCAGCTGACTCGTGTGAAAAAGGCACTATGAAAGTTAATGAATCTAGATAATCTCTAAATGGATTTATGTTAAAATATACAACATTCTTACATAACATCTGTTTTATATATGTGAAATAACATAACATTTAATGACAAAAATCGTGTTTCCAAAAATAACATTTGTTGAAGGTTAAGTATCTTTCTTTTCTCTATCTAGAATCTTTCACAGGATTAAAATATGTGTAGGTTACATGTTTATTACCAGAAAAACTTGACATAGATAAACACATAAAATGGCCCCAATTTCCTTTTAATTACTTATATCAATATTCAGAACTGAGGCTTCATTAAGCAAAATACTGTAATGCACACCAATGCAGGCTACTTCCTGTGACAGATTTTCAATGCATATGACCTTTTTTCCACTTGTGCTTTCTCCTCTAGAAGAACACGGTATAGCTACTAAGCAGAATATAAACAAAATCAGAATACAAGCTATACAAGGAACTGTGGCCGACAGAGCCATGATAGACGAAGGAATGTCTCGGGAATGCCCCATAGGTTTGTATTTGCATGTCCAAGGCCTTGCTGTATTTACATTTTATTAAATGTTTTGATTTTTTTTAAACTGTTGGCATTAAGAACTTGAAATAAATCTAAATATGCTGTCACTGAGTATGTCCAAGGAGAGATCTACATAAACAGAGTCCAGCCTAAAGCAAGCTGCACCCTGAAGGCCAGATACCATAGTCACAGGCAAAATCGGAATAGTTTAGATTTTGAACCATGGGCTATATCTTCGTTTTGTTGCCATAAATAAATTCACTGCTTGTCAAAAACAAAAAAAAGAAAAACGCCTGATGAGAAGTACATTGGGATGGGGGTGAAATAATTAATCCAATAAAGGATAACTCACCTTGGTAAAGTAGGCAAAGTTATTTCCCAGGGTCAAAACATTCTTTAAAAATTGTTTTCAGTTTTATTAAAAATAATGGGCCCAGAAGCAAGTCCTGTGCTTATTTCTGTCTTCATTGTTTCTTTACGGCCATAAATTAAGTGTACCGAGAAATAAGACATTCCTTTCATGGCTTCTTACAACAAAGTTGGAATAATGCCAAAAATTTCAATGGAGTTTAAAAACAAACACATTAGTGACTGCTTCCCTCATCAAAAGATTCCACTCCTGAATCACTAGCAGCAGCACTGATTTTTTCCTGTCGTCTTCGCATGATTTCTTGCAGCTCAGAGCTGCCACTGTTATCCTGAAAAATGAACAGGGTTCAGATGAGACGGTTACTGGTTTGCACAGGCTACCGGCCAGGAGACGAAATGGCTTAGGGTAAAAGATCTTTGTGGTTTTTTCTTAATATCACAGAAGTGATGCATCTAGACTCCCTAATGGATCACATTAATAAGTTTTTTATTTGTTAACTGTCTTAGGCAATTCATTCACCATGCCTTTCACTTGAACACGATCAAGATAAATCAGTACTGCATGGGGAATGCTCTGGATTCCCTGGGAGAAAGCACGTATGTGTGCAATAAGAATAGTAAGATAGTAAATTATTAAATTTAGGTATTTAGGTCAAGTAAGATACTCATCTGCCTTTAGGGGATTCTAATCAGGCCCAAAGACTGGGTTCAGAACACACCCAGTTCCCTCCACGGTCTGGCTCTCTGACAGCATGTCAGCTGTTCCTCCCAAGCCCTCGCTACAGTCCCTGGGCAGCCTCCTTATTCTGCTCTCCTCAGTCCAAGTCTCCAGTAACACAGGCAGGAATCAGGAAGAAGAACTAGATGCAAAAGAAGGGGTGGGGGCAGAGGGCTGCGGAAGAGGAAGAACCCCAGGTTGTCAGTCTCTGCCTCAAGTCCCTTCCAGGGGAACAGGAGCAAGGACAGGAGGAAGTGGGAGGTGTGAGCAAACGACAATGATGGGCAGTCTGCTTTCAGAAATTTTAGGCATATGGAACTTTCTATCATACCCTTAAGATGTAATTTATATACTCTGAATAAAATTAGAATGTATGATGGTAAAAAACTGCTTCAAAAATATATAACCCTTATTCAACATACAGGAAGCCTCATATAGAGCCCCCAAGATCAACCTAATACAGGAAAAATTTCCAAGGAGATCAAATTTCTCCTAGACCTAGTTACAGCGTTGTATGCA